CATGAATATGACGTAGCTTTAGGGTACTAGTTTTGGGGTAAGATTACAGAAAATGAGGGGGTGGCATTTCAAAGCGTGACAGCCAAGCACACGTGTTTTTATATTTATATTTTATATTTATAAATAAAAATGGCTCTGAATCATGTTAATTTGTTTTCGTCGTCATAATGTAATGAAATCACTGACGACTACAAAACTGAACAAATATTTTTCATTACTTGTATGACAAAGTTTACCGTCGCATATCGTTGTATGAGTTGAGCATCAACACACAAACATACATCTTCTATTGAGTATCCACCAACATTGCCGAGGAGTTCGGGACATGTTTGTCACACCGTGTCATATGGACATTTACCTCTGCAGGTTAAGTTTGGTATAGATGCAGGCTCTTGGGCACTTGGGAGTGATTTTTTGCTTGTGCTTCAAGTTATTATTATCCAAACAATCTTGTCTGCATTGTGAATAGTGGAGCATACTCAAAAGACGATTTTAAAATATAGAAAACATGTACAAACATTCTCTTTTTTGAATGCTTAGCAAGATTTAGCAAGGCTGTACATAATAAGAAAGAAACATGATGAAAAAAAAGAAATGAAGGGATCTCCATATTATGCACTATATTTAACTTTTTTACAAAACGATAATAGGTTTTAATTTGGGACTGTTACGGCCATTTTAATTATGAGCATTGGCAAACTTCTTTCTGAATGAATAATTATGCAAATTAACCATTATCTCCACTTGTGTTCAAATCTGAATAGCTCCCACAATTGTTGTTTATTTCAAATGAAACTTTCACACTACGTTTATCAGTTGTTTATTAACAAATCGGCGTCCAGGCGTATATATACATGTAACATTTTTTGTTTTCATATTACAAAACTGCCAAGCAGGATGTTTGCCGTTTATTCAATCCCGGTCAGTATTTCACAATCTGAATGTCATTGTCCAAGAATGCAAAGCTTTAAAAATAAGTCCAGACGTCCATTTTTGTTCGTAAAGAAGTCGTCGAAATAGGGTGAAAATTTCAAGATAAACTGTCAAAAACTGTGAGAGCTCTTTGACCAACCAAAAAACACGAACTGAGATAATGCCCGTTTTAAGAAAGTGGCGTTAATCGTCCACAAAAATGGCTATTGCATCACGACGACATGCCAAAATCCATCATACACCAACGCTTGCTGATGTTCAATCGTCAGGTGAAAAAAATATTCATAATTCGAGGGAAACGAACGAAAAATCGTCTGCGAAATCAAAGCCTTGCCTGAAACTGTCATGGCGTCGTGTTATCAATTCCCGATTTATGGGGGGCGCAATGGATTACGTAAAGCCGATGATACAGTTATATAAACATAGCGATCGCCATTGGATGGGTCATGGACCTATGGGTGGGTTTAGTCTACATTTACCTTTCCTCAAACCTTTAAAAAAATATTTTGTATGACGCACTTTTTCGCGATCCCCGGTGAAATGGACCGTAATTTTTTGCCACTATTCACGGTTTTTACTACTCAATGAAGTGGCATTGAAAGGCAGTGGCGGTGGTCGCCCCATCGAAATTTTAAGCTGAATTTGCCTTTCATAATGCAGAAAATAGCGTTTCAGAGGGCCTAGATTTCATTTTTTCCGGGGGAGCATGCCCTCGGATCCTCTAGTAAGGTCGACCCTTTGGTGCGAAGGATGGATGCTATGGTGAGCAGATTTCGCCCCTCCATACAAAATTTCCTGCCTTTGAAGAAAAAAATGCGTGAATATTTTTTTAATTTCGCCCCACAATGCGAAAACGCTTGTTTTGCGTGAAAAATAAATCGCGCTTCCGGGCATTCCTCCTACATGCAAAATATACAAAAAAAATAATTATTTAACACTGGAGGCTGCCAGGCTAGAAGTTGTCGACATGATTACTTATCATTTACAACTGTTTGGTTTTTTTCACTCCGCTTGCATGCTGGAAGCGTCTACGTCTTGTCTGTTTTTTTGTAGTTTGCCATCTAGTTGATCGCGCTTGAGATAAGTAAACAGGGAGCCAGGACAAGAAGTCACACATCGCCTCACCTTCCCGTAACTGAGGCCAGCAACTCGTTCGACTTTTAATCACATACGCGTGCCTCGATTCCCTATATTTTAAAATCGTGTTTTGAGTATGTTCCAGCGTTGACAAAGCTCCGACATTTTAGCAATATCTAGCCAAGAGAAAAACTGTCGACATACAAAATCTTAAAATCTTAAAATGCCAGTTGCCTCAACCAACCGCCAAATAATTTAATTTAATTTTTTATTTTCTATTGTCTTTGAATGTCTTGTGTTTTTTTGTTTGTTTGCTATCTTTTTTGTATTACTTTATTGTATTTTCAACTAAGATCCCACTCCGGGATACGGTTTCAATAAAGATTATTATTATTATTATTATTATTACAAGCTGCTCTATGATTGGTCCGACTGTAAGGTGTTAGGGTCGGCTAGCGAATCCTGTACATTCTCATAAGTAGCTTCGAGCACTGAGCATTCTGTTTTGCAATATTGTCTGCATTCACGTATTCAAGTGATGCAGCTGCTGGGCAGGATATTACAATGCATTATGGAAGAGAAATTCACATTTTGAATTAACTGAGCAGGATAATGAGCGTGGTTAATGTGGGAGGGGCAATCCTATGTAAATATAATTGGAAAATGTTTTTGCTTTCTGTTTGTTTTTCTACGCAATTTAGATTATCAGCGAGTTATACATAGTTCAGCAATAATACAAACGACAACAGTTTATCGATTCTCCCAACAAGTTTATTTTAATTCTATCTGATATTTCTGCTCTCAGCTATTTGTACATCAACTATACGGGACTACAGTCGGGGTAATCTGCCTTTCAATATCCTTACGCCTGCGTCCACGCATCCATGTATGGTATGCCCAGTATAAGCACCTTCTGTATATGTTAATATCTTAATACAACCTCTGCTCGTGTAAGGTAATCGCATGTAAATGTGTGCGTGATACAGGTGGGCGAGTGTTCCTAACGTACACAGCAAACAGCCATTCAATTTGATGTTAAAGAACCACGTGATATAGTGCTGGCCCCTAGTTTATAATATTTAAATTACTCTACAACAAAATGTATGTAATCGACGCGAAGAAATATTGATCCAATTATGTACGTAAGTGCGCATATATATATCTTAACAAGATCAGTGATCAAGTTCGTATGCGGAGTGATGTAAGCAAACTACCGTGTCTATGCTTGTTTATAGCCCAGTACAATAGATCACGTTACGTGTGCCTTTGTTGTTCAACCCGTACTTGCAGTGCTGATTTATGGATGTTCACGCACTCGTTTCGATCTACGACAATGACCTGGTGATAATACATCGCAAATATATTTGCGAGCCTAACGTGCTGATCAACCGCATACGCGCTTTCAAGTGTGTGACGTCATAGTTTATTAAAATTATATAAATATATAAACGTGTTCTTGGAGCACTTCATTAGAAGATGATTGTCAATGATGTCCTGTTGCCGTGGAAACACTAGCTTACGTCGCGCCTCCACTGATGAATGTTTATCGTGATAGCTCGTCTCCGGTGAATCAGCGTACAACTGCACAACACGGTAGCGTGTTACTCAGTACTGTGGTCACGTCTGTCTGTTCGCGTGCGATAAGCGAATATCTGGTTTACCTACAAGTAGCGTTTTCCATGCGTGGATGCTGACTGGACAGGTATTTGACACATTTTACAGCCCAACGCTTCCGTAAGACTTTCCGTGTTGGGAGCTTTGACGTTTTCGGTATCTCCATATTTTTATCTTAAAGCTGTAGAGAATCCATATTTCACGAAAATTTTATTTCAGGATGGAAACTACATTGCCTGAAATCGTGTTCACTGCTCTAATTAAACTGGTTGTCCCTCATTGATTTGTGTATTTTGTTTGGCCTTTTTTTCCCCCATTGAGCCCTGTCTTCTTGTTTTGCTTTGTCTTTCCACTCGATTAGTCTTTATAAACAGTCTACACCTTGTATTCTGTCCGCATCTCCAAAATTGTCTATGATTTAACTTGTAATTTAATCTCATGAAAAATTCCATGTTTAGCCTACTGATTCATGTTCCTGGACGCGTTTACTGGCTAAAGATTGTAATGAGAAAATTACTTATCGCGGCGCATAAAGCTTGCGTTATTTTTTGTCTCGAGTGTTCTCGGGATCATTTCGCATGGCGCCATTGGAGTATATCAAAATAACTATTCCAACGGATTGATATACAATTTACCTGGATTCGTTTTTTTTTTTTTTTTTTTTTTTTTTAAGAATGATTAATTTGCAAAAGGGTGTGTGTTGTTTATATGCTTCAGTTATACACTCGACAATATATTTGTTGGAATTGAAAATTGAGGGAAGATAATGGATCAATTTTTTGAGGAGCATAAAAAAAAAACAAGATTTGTGGCTCTATGGCTGCCGGCCAACGAGATCTCTTCGATGTATTATATCGTTTAACACTAAAGAGCCAGAGCAGGGATTCTCGATTACAAATACAATTACGCTGCATAACGAGCATATGTTCTTTGTAATTGCGAGTATTCCCCGGAGATCCAATTCAATCTGACGCAAACTGTTCCTAAATTGATAAATGTCACGAGAAACTATTTACACATCTGCGTTCAAATGTGTATGATTATATAGTTTTCTGAAAAGTGGTCTTGGTAACATTTTTTTTATGTTTATTGGTTGTGATTGTTGTTCCCAGTAGATCTGTTGAAGTTCAGTGACATGAGAGAACGTGTAACTCACGATACTAGTGCAAATATGAGAAGTTCATTCTGAATTATGAAGTCTATTGAACAACAACAATAAAATCGGGTCATCCGTAGAATCACCTAATGTGTTTGTGTCTGTGACGTCGACTGCTTTACTGATATCATTGCATCTTCTATTTGCAGATACCATTTCAGAGATGGATACCAAGCATCAGTTGCCATGACAACGATGGGGGTGAAAAGTTGCTATCATAATGGGCAAACGACTTCGCCATGGCGTGAAGATTCTCGCGATACTTATATTTGGCATATTGGTAATCAATCTACTACTCTTGATGGGTTTCGAAGATGGTGATATTCCAAACAACTTCGAATATTATCAGAAAATGGCATCTGACTCGAGGAAGCATGCCAGGGCAGTGTTCAAAGAAATTCTACAGGACCAGTCAAAGGTGATCTCCGATAACTGGGAAGTACTTAATTTTACGAAATTTTCCGACAATGATCGAAACCGGCCGATTGTGTTCATCGGTGGAGTGCCGAGGAGTGGAACCACGCTAATGCGCGCAATGTTAGATGCTCACCCGGACATTCGAATAGGAGAAGAGACCCGAATTATTCCGATGATTATACAAATGCATCGGCATATCCTATCTTCCGAAAAAGAAGTGAGCCGCCTACAAGAGGCCGGTGTGTCTGAAACCATCATGGAAGCAGCGTTGGGGGCGTACATCATGGAAATCACCGTGCGACATGGAGAAAAAGCTTCGTTAATAGGCAATAAGGACCCGCTTGTTCTTCTCTCAATGGTTCAACTTGCGAAAATTTTCCCGAACGCATCTTTCCTCTTCATGGTACGCGACGGACGAGCTGTTGTACATTCCATTATAACACGGCGAGTGACTGTGACAGGGTTTGATTTGAACTCATTCCGTTCCGCTCTGCAGACATGGAACAGATACATCGAGCATATGCACAAACAGTGCCTTGAGTTGGGTTTAGGCCGCTGCTTACCCGTGTATTATGAACAACTCGTGCTACATCCGAAAATATGGATGAAAAAAATTCTGAAATTTCTAAAAGTACCTTGGGACGACAGCGTTTTGAAACACCACGAAACTGTTGGTAAACCAGGAGGAATTTCTCTGTCAAGGTAAGATGGGGTTTAGTAGGATGTGGTCCAAACTGCGCATGCGGGAATAGATCACGTGTTTCAGTTTCGTTGTAATCCCCCCCCCCCCCCGAGTAGTACGTCATACAATTTGCTGTCTCGTTCCTGGCCAGTCATGCAATGATCACTATAATGATCCTTCAAATACATGTATCTATCTAATTATTTGCATGGTAGATAAATATATAATATGAACAAAACGTAATCATGATCAAGTTCGTATCACGAGAATTTCGTGACTTCGTAAGAGCCTACGTAATCGAACTGAATATCGCGCGAACGAGAAACTTGCAAATGATTAACGAACATAAAATACTTGTTTTCACGATTAAGCAATTTTAATATTGAGGTCCTGGAGGTGGCAGATGACCTTTAGTATTTCCGAACATTTGTGCACTTAACAAGGGAATGGGAGGGTGTGGAAATCATAATAATTATAATATTATATTTTTTTTTTGGTGAAAGAAACATAAAGCATTATGAAAATGCAACGGTCGACTTCTGATATGCGTGGGTGCTAAGTAGGAAATACTGTAAACAAATTTGGAAATGCCAATTTAGCCAACAATTGTGGTAATATACTTAATTTTAAATTAGTGACATCTTGATTTTTCAGATTAGTTAAAATAAGATACTAGCAAAAAATATATACAGTAGATAGTGCCTGAAATATGCGTTTCTTTTCATCACTGGGCATTACTATATTGAACTCAATTTATCGTTTACTTTAATTTATAGTATAAGTTTAAGAACGTGTTTGCAGCGAGCTGGACGTATAAAAACGTACATACAGACACGGACAGAGAGACAGAGCTGAAATGCCGACCGCACAAGTTGATAAGGTTATGGGCACTCCGTGTGTAAATATGAGAGCGCGGAACCAGCCCCGGATTTACAATTTCGGATGAGTGGTGTACGTACGAGATATTCAGTCCGTTTAATACGTCGAAAAAAATGTCTACGACACGCACAGTCGCGAATTTCCTACAAAGCGGCCACGTTCCGTGTTTCCGTGATTTCTGGGTAGTTCAAGTCGATTCCCGCGTGACAGTACCATACACCACGAGAATGATACTGTATTTTATTCTTTCTGTGTATTATAAACAATTATTTGTCCGATAACCTCATGCCGTCATATACTTCTATTTTTTTTTTTAATTATAGGCTGGAGTTCTCAACAGACCAAGTTGTGCGACCAATTAACGTCGCCGCCCTGTCCTCGTGGGTGGGGCATGTACCAGAAGAAGTGCTAAAGAACATGCCGCAATTTGCGCCGATGTTGGCCAACTTGGGCTACGATCCTATGGCGATACCGCCGAACTACGGAATACCCGACGAGCTAGTCAGAAACAATACCCAGTACTTGAAAGCGAGCAATATCTTTCCAGATAACAGCATTCCAAAGGATACCATAGAGCGAGTACGAAAAAACGAGGAAGCCCTACGTTTGGCAAAAGAGTATCAGAAATCAAGAATTTAATTCAGAAAGAGTGAGAATGATTACATGCCGAAACCCATTGTAATACAGAAAACTTCAAACAAACATTTTTTTTTGTAAAGATTAACTTTATTAGAAGTTATGTGGGTAAACCTGGATATGTTTAGTATGTTAAAAAAATGTTTTGAAAAAGGGCATCTTATTGTGAAACAAACTATTTTTTTGCACTAAACATAGCGTTTGTGTTACTCACTATTTATTCGAGCAAATCATGTGCACGTTATTATTTTACGATAAATCATATTTTTTTCTGAATAATATATAACACAATTATGTATACACTATGCCTATTCAGCAATGAAAACTCTCAGCAGAACACCACACCCACAGTCAGCTGGCGCACACGTGATAATAAAATAAATACTATATTTACTATATGGGGGCGCCATCTTGAATGACGCATAAAACTATATAAGAGACAAGTTGTGAAACGCGTTTTTCAGATTCCTACAAATCAGGACAATTAGGTGTTCGTATGCAAGGGATTTTTCCACACAAAACGACGAATTAGGCCGAATTTTGTTATCGGTTGGCTTAATATAACCCCAACGGACCGTATTTTTGTGAAAGATTGGTATTTTTGTCCTGATTTTGGAATTCTATTTCCTGCATTTTGAGAAACAAATTTTGCTGACATACAAGGGTTTCAGCTTGATTTGGTGGCGATCGCAACCCCCCCCCCCCCCCGCCCCGCCGTGCCGCCCCACTGTAATCGTATATTGCATATTGTGCACCATAGATAACTGTTTATGTCTTGTTGCTAAGTGTGATTTCCAATTCTCCCCACGTCTTTTCCTGGCTTACTGTACTGTCAAAGACCCACGAATTAAATATCCTATCGGCATTTGAATGGATTCTTCAAAATTTTCCCGCTGTGATTAATACTCTTGTACAAATTTATGCGCAGTTGTGCCGGGCGCACGACAAGATCGTCAGCATAATATTTCAGCTAACTTGCGATGAAACTTATATGTTTGCGATCTTTACAGTCGCGCTGATTCGCGTTATGATACTGATAGCACAGTTAAAAAAATAGGCGTAACTATGCATGCAAGTTAGTTAAGTCAAAGCACTCGAAAAGAATTTGGTTAATTACATGTTTAAAGGATTCATTTAAAGCAGGGGTATCGCGTGGTTATCGCCAGTTGGGACTCAATTCACGCAAGTGCACAGGTGACGACCCCTCCGCTTTAAAGCGCGGCAGTCGTCGCGCTGCGCATGTGCAACATTTGTGTTGATAAAGACTGATTTTCCCACAATCCTATGCGCTCTTCTATGAGGTTATATAAGTATGAGGTTTTACTTGGGCGCGACTTGCAATTATTACCGCAGGTGACTCCTTCCATGCCGTCCAAAAATTACCTAATTAAAGCTTGGTAACCTCTCAGTTTGTACTCGTTGATCTGCGCAACAGTCAAAGTCGCCATCTTTGTTTATATGAGACCCATATATCTCGCGCATGCGTGGCGCGACGACTACTGCCCTTTAAGTCGAAGTGATTTATAAAGGAGAAAGCAGTATCTCACAGATTAACAACTGTGATTGGTTGTGTAATCTTTCGTCGTCTAGAATTCAATAACATCTCTCAAAACACAATCTAGATAGATGGACGACGCCCACAGAAGTTTTTTCTTTGTATCATCCATTTACGTCACGTTTCGTCGCTAGAGGACGCGATGTATAAGCTGATTTGATCTCATACCTCTCGCAATCCCCATGAACAAAGCTCCCAGTTATCAAATTCAAAGTCCCATTTCTAGGCCAATATTTACAAACCCACATGAATCAGATACATGTAGTTCACGGTTGTCATGGCAACAATGTATTATGTCCAAATTGTAATTGTTTTAAGATATTAAAAATAATCCTAACTTATGTTTGTGTTTGATACTAAATGTCACGTGTTACTAGTAATTAAATTGCTTGTGTCTGAGAGTAAGCTGCTGGAAATCCAATTTTTTTTCAGAGATTTCAGTTGTAAAAAAAAGGAAATATTTTTGTGTATGGAAAATAAACTACAGGCAATTTGTATATTTGTGCGTGTTTCTTATCAACTGCTTTTAATAGCATGTGTTGTTATACATTGAATAGAGGTTTACCGCAAACTGAAAAATTTATCGAATGTAAATAACACTAGAAAAGTGTTAACAATTCAAAGTGCATGAGCGAAAAAAGTGCTTGTCAGTAACCTGATTCATATTCGTTATCTGTAACTAAATGAATTTGCAGGGGATTTTCAATCGCTAGTACGCCACCAACGACCATACACTGAAAACGAATTCATTTATTACATCAACAACTTTTTTTCATTTTTTATCTACAACTGGTAGATAATCCTACTGCATTGTAGACAAAACGAGTGAAAAGTGATGAAAATATAGTACTCCGGTTTGAAGAAGATGATAATACAATGACGTTGGTCAACTAAATTCTCGGGTAGTACATGTTATTGTCTTACGTACTCTCGCATTTTTGTCCTTTGGGATTTTTTTTTTTTTTTCAGTTATCGGTGCGGATTTTGAGGGAACATCAATTAAATTTATCACCGTATAGTTTATGACATGGCTGGGCTGTTACCGCCGGAAAAGGACACAAAATAAATAAAATGTTCGCCATATCATATTTCAGTATAATGAACTAGTACAATGTGGGACTGTGAAAGAAATAATATAAAACAAAAAACAGCTATGTACACCAGGCAATTATTAAAGGGGAGCAGAGGTCTGGCTGATGACGTCATCGACTGGCCCTCTATAGGCGAAATAACGCCAGGCAAAACGGACGTTTGTCGTCTACTTCACAGCCCGCTTTATACCCAATATTGAGGGAATTTCGCACCACATACAAGTTGTTTTTTCATGACAGAATCGATTCATAGATGTCAAATTTCATGTACAGAGTGAAAAAAGCCAGACCTCTGCTCCCCTTTAAAGGGAATGCTTCACAAGGAATTACGATATTAGTGATTGTTTAAGAGAACGGAATCGAATACACATTACGTGTTACGGTGTAGAGGGTTTCGAAGTACCCACCAGGCATTGCGTTAATGTTCTGATTGTTCCGTATACTGTAACATACTTTCTTTACGATTGCAATTTAATTTCGCTGAAGGGATGATTCAGTGAAAATAAAATCCAGCAAATATATACATTTTTTTGCTATATTTTACATTTAACTCGCCGAAAATCAGTGAAAATAAATCCCATATAAAACACACAAAGCGTTTTTAAGTGAAAATTAATTCCAGCTAAAAGTATTTTAAAGTAATATGGGTGAGAGTCCAAATGACTAGATAAAATATGGAAAAAAAAAGGACTTTCAAAAAATTCACGCTATACCGATTCTACCTATCACTTTCAGTTGAATTGTGTTGAGATTCTCCAGTGGAAACGTAAACGTAATCCAGGCACTTCTAAATTATGGATAAATACAGGAACAGACGTACCAATCAAGCATGTGACGACATCGCCGGTTTCAGACTTGATGCACTAATGGCCGAGTATTGGAACAAAAAAATACTTGAAAAAGTATATAGATTTTACAGAAGTGCCCATGCTACGAACTGGAATGACAATGACTTATTGCTTATATTAACAAGTTTGTTGCTCTTATATTGACACAAATTCACAACGTCATTCAGTATTCTTGGCGAAACAAAAGTATTTCTTCATCGTTAGGAATACTATACATTTTAAAGGAAGTCGAATCAAACCAGCCAATCAACGAGCACAGCGCGCAACGACGCCATTTGAAACCGTCCAAATCGGCCAACAGAAACCTCTCGTTTCAGTTTGAATTGTGAAATTTATAAAAATGAAGAGAAAGCTCTTGTTCCGCCGAGAATACTTGCCTCTGACATCAAATCCTTCTTCCCATGCCGTCAGTACGCCACCAGCGGTCAAATCCTGCAAACAAATCCATTTATGAATCAACAACGTTTTCTCGATGATTTATTTGAATTATATTAAAACCTGACATTGTTTATACGTAAATTTATTTATTCATTGTCGAGCTACCAATAGTACCGGTCATGAACTTTCATTCCGGCAAAAATCTATTTTTCATTGTACCCATTTTTGGTCGATTTACGTTATAGACTCCGTTCGTCTATCCACCCGACACTAGCTACCCGACACCATTTCTGACGCTACTTAGGTCGATTTCATTTAAATTTAGCATGGTCACTTCTCTTGTGTTGCTGGTGCATGTCATTTCATGTCACTAGTTGTCATTAACAATGATTTGTTGGACTGTTGGACTAGCACTCATCTGATAAGTGTTGACCATTGCATCACAGTCACTCTAGTAGAGTGACTCAGGC